GTTTCACATGCACATGCACTATAGGGGAACTGATCAACTACACTGGCCGTGTGTGAATGAGTGTGATTGAGTGTGTATGGGTGTTTCCCAGTACTGTGTTGATGCTGGAAGGGCATCCACTACATTAAACAAATGCTGGAATAGTTGGCGGTTCATTCCACTGTGGCGACCTCTTTAGAATAAAATACTAAGCTAAAGAAAAGGATTGATTGAATGATCCCGTTAAACAAGCGATCTGTGCAATGGCTGAAATAATATAACGAGCCAACGCTGAAATCCCCAACACATGTCAGACACTTTCAGTAAACATAAACTCAACGTCAGCATCTTGTGTGTGGGATGTTTTGAATATATGCAAACACGGAAGAAGATCAGAAGCGTTCACACACTGTCTACACACACACACACACACACTTTTCTCCAGGATCAGGAAGTGCTGACTAACAGTCATACACCGGCTTTCTGACACATCTCATCATATCAGTCATGAGAGCTGCAAAAATATTCAGCTTTCATATCATCTCTGAGCCATTCATCGTCACTCCAGAGTCCAGTCCTGTCCAGATCTAAAAGTAAGACTAATATACTCTTGGCAGTTTTGCATCAACATTTCACGATCGTATTCTTCCATGGGTGAGCAGGAGCACTTCAGAACTGCAGAACACAATTACCCACTGTTTTCCATCACTATTCAACTTTGCAGGATCCAGAAGCTGCTGCCGACTTTTATTCCAGTATGATGGTGATGCATTATGGGGGTGGGGTTTATGTTTGAGCTCCGCCTCTCATCTTTCACTCACAGCAAACTAATGGTTGGAGGGGGCGTGGCTAAGCATAAGCATAGCATAGGGACTGCTATTCCATAGCAACTGTAGAATCACCACAACAGATCAATTACTGTAGTTGTCGTGTTACCATAGCAACTGTAGAATCACCACAGCTGATGAATTACTGTAGTTGTCGAGCAACTGTAGAATCGCCACAACTGATTAGTGTAGTTGTTGTATTACCAAAGCAACTGTAGTCACCACAGCTGATCAATTACTATAGTTGTTGTTACCATAGCAACTGTAGAATCGCCACCACTGTTTCGTGTAGTTGTCATGTTACCATTGCAACTGTAGAATCACCACAACAGATCAATTAGTTTAGTTGTTGTGTTACCATAGCAACTGTAGAATCACCACAACTGATTAGTGTAGTTGTCATGTTACCATAGCAACTGTAGAATCGCCACAACTGATTAGTGTAGTTGTTGTGTTACCATAGCAACTATAGTCACCACAACAGATCAATTAGTTTAGTTTTTGTGTTACCATAGCAACTGTAGAATCACCACAATAGATCAATTACTATAGCTGTTGTTGCCATAGCAACTGTAGAATCACCACAACTGATCAATTACTATAGTTGTCGTGTTACCATAGCAACTGTAGAATCGCCACAACTGATTAGTGTAGTTCTTGTGTTACCATAGCAACCGTAGAATCACCACAACAGATCAATTAGTTTTGTTGTGTTACCATAGCAACTGTAGAATCACAACAACAGATTAATTACTATAGTTGTTGTTGCCATAGCAACTGTAGAATCACAACAACAGATCAATTACTGTAGTTTTCTTGTTACCATAGCAACTGTAGAATCCCTACAGCAGATTAATTAACATAGTTGTTGTGTTACCATAGCAACTGTAGAATCGCCACAACAGATCAATTACTATATTAGTTGTTACCATAGAAACTGTAGAATCACTACAGCAGATTAATTAGTATAATTGTTGTTACCATAGCAACTGTAGAATCTCCACAACAGATTTAAATAAAAGAAAGTATTTTACTAAGGTTCAAAAACACTACAATAGTTAATATATTATTTTATAATAGTCAGTATTACTATAGGATGTATGTACTATTAGTATAGTATTTTGTGGGTGAAGCGTGCATGCATGGCGCTGGTGATGTTTTCAGCATGTGTGCATGTATGTCAAATAATGTGCAGGAAAAAATTCAACCAAAAAAAAAAAAAAACACTTAACTAAAAGAAATAACATTTAAAGTGGAAAAGGATCACATGTAATTGTGGGCAGGGAGAGCAGATTTGACAGGGCCCGACTACAGCTAAATTAAAAACAACCAACAACCTACATGACTCAGGTCAACATTTCAACACACAAAGCACTAAAAGCATGTTCTGAGGCATACACAAGGGTGGCACTTGAACGAAATTGTAGATGAAATCAAATATATGCACATGGAAATACCATGCTATCACCATCATTATACCACCACTGCACTTCAAATGGAACCACCATGCAGTCCAAATGCATAAACCTGAATAAATGTAAATATACCTATATATCTTGTGTGTGTATGTGTGTGTGTGTGTGTGTGTGTGTGTGTGTGTGTGTGTTGTATTATTATTAGCAGGCACGCACGACTGACTGCTCCTACAGAACAGTGATTTACTGCTAGCTGTGATAGTTCACAGGATGACTGTGGGGGGCAAGATGAATAGATAAATGCTCAATAAATCCATATAGCATGCAAATGCAGATGAATAATCAGACAAAAGAAGTAAACAGTGCGACAGCCATCTGTCCGCCGTGATGTGAGCGCGCCTCGGCCGGAGCGCGAGCACGAGCGTGGTGGGTGCGCGCATCAGATGGCGCTTACCTGTCGACAACATTAATGCTTCCGCCAGAACTTCACCGGTAAATCCACACGAAAACCAGAATTATCGCATCGGTACCGCGGCGTTTGGAGACTCTCATCCGAGAAGAAGCGCTAGTTCGGCTAGCAGCAGCAGTGGCGGCGGGTTCTCGGAGGACACGCCCACGCGCTGACGTCACCGCAGCCGCTTCCCACATCAGTTTTAGTGACACTGTACTGCAATAATACTATTTTTAATGTTAGCGTGAGGGTTTGTTTAGGGCTCAGGTAGGGTAAGTGTTTATTAAATGCTGTTTAATTGGTCATTTAATTATTATGAATAGCACTGGGATTAATTTCTGTGATGATTGGGTTCGGGTTAGGGGTAGAGGTTAATAAAATACTATTAATGGGTAATTTTATAATCAATAATATTAAATATTATAGCCTTCTTGCAACAAACCAAACCCATCCCGCAGTTTAAAAACCCTACTATGGCGAAGGATGGACCGTCTTTTTATTTCCGTGTTTCTCGGCACCGGAAGTCGTCACGTTTGGCTAAATTTAAAGCGCATGCAGTGAACGGCAGAGTTCAACACACACACACACACGAACACAAACATTGCATTAATATTTGCTCGATATGCTTCGCTTATAGATGTATAGAAACACCTCGTTTTTTTTTTTTTTTTGGCAAAGATTATATAACACAGAGCTTCAAAAATACATAAGTTTACTTAAAATCAAAATATTAAACACTTTCCAGGACTTATGATGCTGATGACCGTTAAAAGCGTCACAATCGCTGATCTCTGATAGAGTAACCGTGGTGTGAAGGGATCTTCTGAATATGAATGATGTGACGCTCCGTAATGGTTACCAAGCAACGACGATTGATATGATTGACATTCATGAGCGCATCCTTTTCCGTAGTGGACAGCTGTAGAATCACTACAGCTACCGAGAATCTTTGAATTAATGGGCCTTGTTTTAACGACTGCTATTTAGATGTAGGTTATGTAGAACCAGCGTGACACATCAATACACGACATAAGGTGAATTACTGACGCGAAGCGGAGCAGTGCGCATGCGCATGGGCAGATCTGCGCTCTATCACTACGGTCCTCGTTCGCCATCTTGTTGTCGTTCCATATGTTACACTTATCATCTCTGCAGATCTAATTCACATTAAAGACTTTACATATTATGATTAATAAAATGGCTTAATTTCTTTCTTTCTTTTCAGTTCAGTTCATCATACTTTCTGATTTTGTTTACCCTGATAATTTCAACAGCCGAGTGACGATCTTGATGTCAAAATGACAACAAAAGTGATTGTGTTCTGATTGCTAAGGTGTTCTGAGTAGTTGCTAGGCAGTTGCTAACATAAATTATGTTAAGCTTTTGTATGAATTAGCATGTTTCTAGCATGTTTCAAGTATAAACTATGTTGTATGAGCATGTTGCTAGTAAGTTTCAAGTATGGATTAGTACAGGGGTCACCAAACTTGTTCCTGGAGGGCCGGTGTCCTGCAGATTTTAACTCCAACCCTAATCAAACACACCTGAACAAGCTAATCAAGGTCTTACTTGGTATACTTGAAACATCCAGGCAGGTGTGTTGAGGCAAGTTGGAGCTAAACCCTGCAGGGACACCGGCCCTCCAGGACCGAGATTGGTGACCCCTGGATTAGTATGTCCAATGTAAAGTCAATGGCAGTTTTTTTTTACAATGGAAGTCTATGGTCGCTAGGGTGTGGCTAGTTGAAAGGTCATCAGTGATTGGAATTGGTAGTCTGAGTTAAATGAGCCCAACCTTAAGTCTGTAAGTCTGGCTAAAGTTATGAAGTTACAAAATTTGGTCCAATGTTAAGTCAATGGGACTTTTCTGAATGTTCTGGCTCAGTTTTGGGAAAACCGTCAGTCGGATCAGTTGGAAAAGATATAGCAGCTTAATTCAGTATAGTTTGGAGGTCTGGAGTTAGTTTGGGGGTTGTAGTATGAACGGTCTAGGAGTAGATGTGTTCTTAAAATAGTCTAAGAATACGGAAGAATGTTGTGTAGTATAGTAGGATGTTTGCTTTCTCAAGCCACCATAATTACTTTAATGAATGCATTAATGATCAGCTCAATTATATTTTGCTTTCATGTGCATTTGTCCCTCTGTGTTCTGTTACAGGTTTATGTATTGTTATTTTCTTTTATATTTTGTAGATTTATAAAATGCACAAAGCTCATGAATACACACTCAAACAAACAAGACTATTGTGCTATGCTAATGAGGGAGAGATCATCACTAATAAAACCAGCACCAGGGCTGGAAAAGTTGCAGAAGAACAAGAAAAACACTTACATTGGTAAATGATTTATTTTGGGAAAAAGAGTCCTGTACCGCATTCTGTCTATCATTTAAGATCCAGCTGAGGAGCATCGATTTTATTTGACTAAAGATTTCTTGTGGATTGAGCAGTCTGGAGGGTCGTTCATTTGGCAAAAAAATATAAACAAAAGTCAATTGAAAACGTCATACAAAGTCAATGGCACTAGAACTAAACAATGACTTAATTTAATGCCAAAGCTACTCAAATAGAACAGCAACCGTTGACCACACCAAGAGCTTGTGCTTCAGTTCTGACGGATTTCATAGTTTTTATAAAACAAAATCATACAATCAAATCCAATTACAAAATAATCATCTCTACTCAGAACGGCCCTTAGGTTATCTGAAACGCTGATTCATCCACTAGTAAACTATATATATATATCATTTCTTCATTCACAGACTGCTCTGTTTTTACAACACTGATGTCCTGGACAGCCTATGCACTTTACACTGCAGGAAATGTTTTTCTTACTCTGTTTTTGTCTTGTTTCTAGTCCAAACATCTCAAAACTCTTAAATCAAGAAGCATTTTCTAGACAAGCACTGAATATTGTGTTGATTTAAGAAATATCGAGTCAAAATGAAGAGAGTTTCTCATGAAAACAAGCAAAATAATCTTTTTTAAAAGTTACTATTATTATTTATTTCTATTTATATTATTTATTTGGCTTGTTTTATTGAAAGACTCTCTTCATTTGGAGTGTTTTATCTTTCTAAACTCAACACAAACATTTGTGCGTCTTGTTGTTAGTCTAAATATCTACAAAAGCTCAAATCAAGACCAAAGCTCAGAGTAGGAGAAGCTTTTAATTCTCCCCTCGTAACGTTCTGCAGTGCAGTAGCTGCTCACTCCCCCCAAAAAACAAAACAAATCCACAACAACAAATGAACGTCTTTCCACTTTAAATTAGCTCTGCTATAAATACAAAAGTAACTCATTTAAAACAAATAAAAGAAATTCACAATAACGGCAGGCTGCCCTGCGGAGCCAAGATAATCCCGAACACGTAGAACAGTCCCATCAGCAGGTTGAGCTTGGCTGTTTTCTGCGGGATTTTGGCGTAACACCGGCACCGGAACTGCCTCTCCAGTGGAAACGCCATGGGCAGCGTTAACAGCGGCAGCGCCATGCTAATGGTGTAGCGCGTGGCGAGGATGCAGAAGAGCAGGTAGGGCACAAACAGCAGCAGGTTGTAGATGACGTATGAGAGCGTGGGTCCCAGCAGGATGGCCAGGGTCACGATGCCCGCCTGCTTGTCTGAGTCCATGTCCCGCGTGTTGTTGCTGTGCAGGATGGCTTCAGTGTTTAGCGCTAGCGGCACGGCGTACACTAGCGGCAGCACCGACAGGTATCCCACCTGAACCGCATGAGCAAACATCACCGCTAGTGGCCCGAAGGTGATGAGGATCACCACGTCTCCCAGAGCCACATACTTCAGCCCGATTCCTGCACAGAGATAGATCACACACACACACACACACACACACACACACACACACACACACACACACACACACACACACATTTTAATGGCGTTTCTGCTCAAAATAGTTCGTCTTCCTGTGCAAATATTTATATTTTCATTTATTATTATTATTAATATTTTTAGGGGGTTTTCACCTTTAATTTGGATAGTGTGCTCTCCAGACATGTTGAATTCCTCCTCAGACATTTGCAATGTTTCTAAATTGCATTGCTTCTTACCAATTTTTAACATCAGTTTCATCTATAATATTCAGTAAAGCTGCGTCTGACTAGAGTTGGGCGATGTCGACCAATATGGCATCATACGATGTCTAACATGGAACATTATGATGGACGATGACATGGTCATCATCATCATAGGCGGCGGTGAATTCATTATGAATAAATCATTTATTCATTATGACTTAATTATTTGTAGCCTGCCGTTTTAACTACCTAACCTACATGCTCATTGTTTAACCCATAACCAAATTTTGGTTGCACACATGATGACTCGTGAACAGGCAGAGTGATCTGTGCCGCTATAATGGCGTCCACAATCTTGGTTGGTAAAAAAGGTGCACAACCAACAGGAAACCACCAGCAGTGTCTTAAATAGGAGACAAGTGTTAAATATTAAATATCCTTTATTTAATGCCCACAAATACGTATGCGTGACTGTCATCACGGGACAGTGTGGAGGAGAGAGAGAGGGAGGGAGAGGTGAGGTGGCGAGTCACGCACCAAGTGACCTGCAGTTTGGCAGTATTTCCAGTTTCGACCGAACGAGAAGGGAGACGTGGAAATATGAACTAGAGGATGAATTTCCGTATAAAGCGCGGGAGCGGTCGGTACCTCTAGTTTAATTTGAAAGGGAGCGGGTGCGTGCTCGCTCGCTCAGGAGCGATATTGTTAGATCGGTGCTGCGGTGCTGTGCGTCGCTTGGTTCTCTCTCTCTCTCTCTCTCTGTGCGTGCGTGTGTGTGTGTGTGTGTGTGTGTGTGTGTATGACCGTGAACCTAAGGTGGCATATCCGGTCTTCAGTTTCTGAATGGTTTAGGCACAAGCTAACAGTTTGGTGACGCGGTCTGAGCCTTACATCATCATTTTTTTTATTATGCACGGTAATACCGGTGTAAAATATGGAGGAGGTTTGACGGTATTAAAATTTGGATACCGCCCAAGCCTACTAAGTACAAGCGTGAAGGCGAAAGATTAAACCAGTCTACTGACCCGCTGACTGCCTGGACCAGCTGTCGAGCGCAAAACAGTGCGCGTGTGTGTGGTCACGTGATGTGCATTTCCAGCAGTAGTGTGGAAGGAAGGAGGGCTGCTTAGAAAAGCTAGATGAAACGCCAGAGTGGATGTGGATTGTTTTCGTTCTCTAATGCCATTTAAAAGCTAAGACCTATTGGTGTAAACGGGGCCTGAGTGTGTGTTTTTCGCGAGTGAATTTGTAACGGGGGCGGGGCGGAGGATCGCAATGCCGGCTCAGCATCATGGTGTCTGTCAGCCATCAGCGATGGCATCGTCTATCGGCCCAACCCTACTTCTGACCATCACATGTCCACACGAAACAGTTATTATGCTGTGTTTACACCAGACGCGGCACGCGCATCAAGCGCGAGTGATTTACATGTTAAGTCAATGCAAATGCTCTGATCAGCGCACGCCTAATTAACATTCAAATAAATCAATGTAAACCACAGCCGACCCTGTTCCTGAAGCCACACCTACAGTACATGTTCAACCACTCCCTGATCAAACACACCTGAATCAACTCATCAGAACATCCCCCAAAGCCTGGGTCAGATAAGGGAGACCTCCAGAATATGCACTGTTGGCGTGCCGAAAAGAACAGGGCTGGGAAATGCTGACCTACACATTCCAGTTAATCAATAAAAATCGCTTTAAGAGCCCCGAGTGGAGTTAAAGGAAGCCAATCGGTATATTCACCTCCGGTGTAGAGAAACGAGCTGGACAGTCCTCCAAAATAAATGAGCGCCAGATGCTCCAGTTTGAGGCTGGACAGGAAGTAGAGCAGCGTGGCGCACAGACATCCTGCAGAGTACAGCACCGCTCCAAACATCACCACGTCCTGCGGCTTCAGGATCTGGTCCACCAGCGTGCGGTCGTCACTCTTCTTATGGTCGATTCCCTTGGAGAAGTCGTAGTAGGTGTTGACCAGGTTTCCGGCTCCGTGGACCAGCAGCACGGCCACCGCGCACACCAGCAGCAGCAGCAGGTCCACCGAGCCCTCCAGCTTGTAGGCCAGAGCGCTGCCCAGAGCCACGGGCGTGAGAGACGCGCTGAAGCTCCACGGCCGCAGAGCCAGAACATACGCAGCACACTTACTCTGCAGATCCAGCGCCATGCGGCCCGCGCGGGACAGACGGCTGCAGGGGACACGCACCGACGATCCTGAAGCTCCATTCAGGCCATTGGAGCCCGAAAGCGCAGCCGGCTTCATCTCCTGCATCCAGGAGCGCTTCAGAGACCAGAGCTGCCGATCACAACACACACAGGCTTATTTTTGTGAACTGTGGGGACATTACATAGTTTTCAGGTCAATATTATTATAGCAATTGATCTGTTGCTGTGATTCTACAGTTGCTATGGTAACAACAACTATAGTAATTGATCTGTTGTGGTGATTCTACAGTTGCTATGGTAACAACAACTATAGTAATTGATCTGTTGTGGTGATTCTACAGTTGCTATGGTAACAACAACTATAGTAATTGATCTGTTGTGATTTTACAGTTGCTATGGTAACAGCAACTAAACTAATTGATCTGTTGTGGTGATTCTACAGTTGCTATGGTAACACAACAACTATAGTAATTAATCTGTTGTGGGGATTCTACAGTTGCTATGGTAACAGCAACTAAACTAATTGATCTGTTGTGGTGATTCTACAGTTGCTATGGTAACAACAACTATAGTAATTGATCTGTTGTGGTGATTCTACAGTTGCTATGGTAACACAACAACTATAGTGATTGATCTGTTGTGGTGATTCTACAGTTGCTATGGTAACACAACAACTATAGTAATTGATCTGTTGTGGTGATTCTACAGTTGCTATGGTAACACAACAACTATAGTAATTAATCTCTTGTGATCCTACAGTTGCTATGGTAACACAACAACTAAACTAATTGATCTGTTGTGGTGATTCTACAGTTGCTATGGTAACAACAACTATAGTAATTGATCTGTTGTGGTGATTCTACAGTTGCTATGGTAACAACAACTATAGTAATTGATCTGTTGTGGTGATTCTACAGTTGCTATGGTAACAACAACTATAGTAATTGATCTGTTGTGATTTTACAGTTGCTATGGTAACAGCAACTAAACTAATTGATCTGTTGTGGTGATTCTACAGTTGCTATGGTAACACAACAACTATAGTAATTAATCTGTTGTGGGGATTCTACAGTTGCTATGGTAACAGCAACTAAACTAATTGATCTGTTGTGGTGATTCTACAGTTGCTATGGTAACAACAACTATAGTAATTGATCTGTTGTGGTGATTCTACAGTTGCTATGGTAACACAACAACTATAGTAATTGATCTGTTGTGGTGATTCTACAGTTGCTATGGTAACACAACAACTATAGTAATTAATCTCTTGTGATTCTACAGTTGCTATGGTAACACAACAACTAAACTAATTGATCTGTTGTGGTGATTCTACAGTTGCTATGGTAACAACAACTATAGTAATTGATCTGTTGTGGTGATTCTACAGTTGCTATGGTAACACAACAACTAAACTAATTGATCTGTTGTGGTGATTCTACAGTTGCTATGGTAACAACAACTATAGTAATTGATCTGTTGTGGTGATTCTACAGTTGCTATGGTAACACAACAACTATAGTAATTAATCTGTTGTAATTCTACAGTTGCTATGGTAACACAACTAAACTAATTGATCTGTTGTGATTCTACAGTTGCTATGGTAACACAACAACTAAACTAATTGATCTGTTGTGGCAATTCTGCAGTTGCTATGGTAACACATAGCACCTTTAGAAAAATGTTTTCTGAGAAAAGTGGTGACGTGTTCTTTACTTATTTCCTCGTTGTATTTATACATTCTGTCCCTCTTCCTCAACCCTATCCCTGAACCCACTGTGCGCAGATTTACTTTATTAAAAAGGAAAAAGCTCATGCTGTGATTTATAAGCATTGAGGAAAATGGAGATCTCAGCAATGTACCTTGTTGTGAAAAACTGTCATACCCATTACATTGTACACATTAGGGCTGCACAATACTGGAACAATCTGATACTGCCATGTTTTATTTTTCTCTGATAAATATTGCGACAAATACAGTTTCACAAGCTAGCTGAATAGCACTATTTGACAGTATTCTGGTACAGAAATTAAACAATCACAATGCAAAAAAGGCTTTTCTTACTTTGTTTCGTCTCGTTTCCAGTCCAAAAATCAAAAGATTGTTAGAGCAGGTGAAAAAGATTCTTTTGTTTTTAAATTCAGATGAAATAAGGCAAAACTTAAAAGTTTTTCCTTAAAACAAGCTCAATCATATAAAACATTTTAGAATGAAACTTATTTCTTCACCTGCTTGTGCTAAATGTAATGCTGGGGTGATGATTGGTAGCTTTTTCATGTTTTCTGGGAAATTCGTCTCAAAATCTACAATTTTTGAGTTAAGACCTGTACAGGGGTGAGGGCAGGCGATAATAAAATACAATTTTATTAGTAATTGAATAGATAATATGAGTAATACTTTGTATTATTACTGTTTTACATTACTGTGAGGGTTTAGGGTAGGGATAGACGTCAATAACACACAATTAATGTGTAATTAAATAAATAATGAGTAATACTCTGTATTATTACTGTTTTTACATTACTGTGAGGGTTCAGGGCAGGCGTAAATGTTAATAACACACAATTAATGTGTAATTTAATAAATAACATGAATAATACTCTGTAATATTACTGTTTTTACATTACTGTGAGGGTTTAGGGCAGGCGTAAATGTTAATAACACAATTAATGTGTAATTTAATAAATAATATTAAGGAAGTTGGAGCTCGACTATGCAGGACACCGACCCTCCAGGACTGAGTTTGGACACCCCTGCCTTAAGATATAGGTGACAACAAACTACCTTTTCTTTCTGTTTGATCTGTTTTACAATTATCTTATTAGGCACTATGTACTTCTCTGACATTATGTATATAGCTGCTGTTTTTCCACCCTTTTATACTCATTTACAGGTTTCTGTAAGCGTATATATATATATATATATATATATATATGTACATGTGTGTTTGTTGGTGTGTACATATAGATAATTTGTCATTTTTTCATTTTGTTTCATGCTATTAACTATGCTATACACATTATTATTATTTTTTTTATTTGCTTGTTTATTTTACAGGGACAATACACTTGACATTGTTATACAAAGATGACCGATGTTGTGTACATAGGGCATATAGCATAAAGCTAATTTGCAGCCCTCGTCCCTGGTTAGGCTTTACATTATAAAAAAGGGAAAAAAAATAATAATAATGATAATAATAATAATAATAATAATAATGAAAACCAGCAAGAATAAAACACAATACAGCAAACATGTACAACATGTACAATAACCAAGTCAATGTTAAGGAATTCTGCTATTAATATTGTTGATAACCATGTTTAGGTTTAAGTAAAAAACAACAAGCTCAAGTTTCTGCCAATGGGGCGAGCAAAATAATCTTGTTTTCACTTTGAAATGTAGACAAGCAAAATAATCTACATTTCATTTTGAAATCACATACATTTTCTACCCCATTGTCAAATTATTTAGCTTGTTTTAAGGAGAAACTCTCTTAATTTTGCCTCATTATTTCTGAAAACAACACTATATTAAGTGCTTCTCTAGAAAATGCTTCTGGATTTAAGAGTTTTGGGAAATTTGGACTAGAAACAAGACAAAAACTCTCAGCAAGAGAAGCATTTATGTATTGATTATGATTAAAATAATAATAATAAAATCATGATGATGATGATAATGCTGAATTAGGATCTTCACACAGTGGTTATAGCTCAGGTGTGTGTGTGAGGTGTTCTTCAGGTATGAGCCCACCTGTTGATCACTATATTGTCGCTATATCATCAATATCTGACTTATATCATGAGTATATTCCCTATATCGTGTGTCATCAATAACAAGGCTAATTGTGCTGAGCGTCTGCTAAAGGCTAGCGCTAGTCAGAGAGATTATCCGAGATTATGGAGGATCATCATCATCATACCTGCTCCACACGCGCTTCAGCCGAGCACACACTCACTGCAGCACTGATACACCGTCATCTTCATCATCTTCATCATCTTTATCTTCATTATTAATCGCAGAGAAGACACGGACAGCAGAAAGACTCACGACTTTAACAACATTCACTGACACACAGCGCCATTTTCGTCCAGCACTTCAGTGTGCAACCGCACATCCGGCCCGGGTGGAAACAAGACCTGTATTCTGGATAGTCTAGAAGGGATACAGCTGTGGATACTGGATAGCATCGATTTTTGACACTGTACAACAATTATTACTGTTTTTACATTTCTGTGAGGGTTGGGGTGGGGGCAGGTGTTAACAAAATAAAATTTAATTAGTAATTTAATAGATAATATGAATAATAATTACTGTTTTTACATTACTGTGGGGGTTTATGTTTGAGATAGACGTCAATAACACACAATTAATGTGTAATTTATTAAATAATATGAGTATTACTCTATAACCTTGTTGAATGGGGGGTCATATGGGCCCCTAATAATATCTCTGGGAGCCCCAAAACTACATGGGCGAGAAGGGTCTGGCTGCATAATCAGTGCAGATGCAATCTGAGCTGCATGCAATGCTTTTTAATGTGCTCACCTAACCCCACCGCTAACCCAGCCTGATCTCACGAGAAAATGTAAGTATTTTACGTTTTGGCAGTTTAGTGGCTAATTTGTACGAATTCATACGAGTTCAGTCGTGAGAAAATGTACGATTTTAAAAAGGAAGCGTGGCACCTAACCCCACCCCTAAACCCAACTGTCATTGGGGGATACGCAAATCGTACAAAAATGTACGAATTAGATCGTACGAATTTGTACGAATTAGCCACTAAATGAAAAAGTTACGAATTGCTATGAGATTGTGTTGGCTAATCCTACCGTCACAGTGACGTCACTAGCTGCATTGAGTGCAGTGTGTCGGAAATTGCATGTCTGAGCGATGCAATCTCAGCTTGCATCATCAAGGCTGCACTGGCATAGACCCTTTGAATCATTCTTACTACGGAAAGCACATACTGTCATGAATAATTAGGAAGCAGGGTCTTCTCGTAGGATAAGAAAACTCTGGTATGAATAATAACGATAAACCGACGCATCATCCCACGCCAATAATTATTTATTTTAAACCCAGAAGATGAAATTAGTTGACAAAAAGCTCCAAATTATCCAGTTTTCCCCACCATTAATGCCGACAGGTGCTAACGCTGTCTCCAGTACTCCAAAAAAGTACTTCAGGGTGTCTTGAACCTTTAAGGTGGGCAACAGTACGGGGTCTTCGCTGTCGCCATCTGTGCTTCAGAATGCACCACACATTCTCTATTGGAGACAGGTCAGGACTGCAGGCAGGCCAATCCAGTCTCCTCTTCCCCCACAGCAGGACTCTGTAATGTGTGCAGAATGTGGTTCTGTTTCTGTTGGGTTTGTGCTCATCCGCACTATTTATGATCATCGGTGGAGCAGTCAGTGTGGTGAAGACAAAAACCCATCAACAGAGAAACACAGACACGAATGAACGTGTGAGTGTGTGTGTGTGTGTGTGTGTGTGTGTGTGTGTGTGTGTGTGTGTGTGTGCTATACTACTTAACTCTCCTTCAGATGGTCATTTAAAGGGACAGTTCACCCAAACTCCCTCAGACTCAAGTAATAATGCTCTTCTTACTCAGAGTTTGTGTCTCCAAATATCTACAAACTCTCTAGACGCATTTTCTAGACAAGTAAAGCATATTGTGTTGTTTTCAGAAATAATGAGTCAAAATGAAGAAAGTTTTGGATTAAAACAAGCAGAATAATCTGGCAATGGATTAAAAATGCTTCTCGATTTAATAATTTGGAGATATTTGGACTGGAAACGAGACAAAATTTCTATGTAAGATCGTTTGTGTGTGGTAAATATAATATAAGTGTATACGATTAAATTACTGTAGTATTTAGTTGTGGGCTGCTGCATTGAAGGACTCAGATCAAAAGCAGATGTCTTGAGAAAGATGATTAATCCTCCAAAAATGAAGCAGCAGTGCAGCGCTGATAGCATTACAATGTGTGTGTGTGTGTGTGTGTGTGTGTGTGTGTGTGTGTGTGTGTGTGTCTCCCTCTTTGTGGGTCTGTCTGTCTGTCTGTGTGAGAGTGAGTGTATATGTGTCTTTCTGTTTGTCACTCTCTCTGTGTGAGTCTGTGTCTCTGTGTATGTGTGTGTGTGTGTGTGTGTGTGTGTGTGTGTGTGTGTGTGTGCAGCCCTGCGGTCACTCACTTTCTCTCCGCGCACCGGGCAGGATCCCCATGGCCAGCCGGATAATCACACACACACACACACACACACACACACACACACACACACACACACACACACACACACACACACACACGTTAAATAAATGCTCAGCTTTTACACGGCTTTCCTAAGGGCGACGGCGCAGAGATGTTGCGGGGAACCGGACGCTTCTCCGGGCTGCTGCTGTTTGCGCTCCTGCTGCTGGAGACCGCGGCTGTACCCGCCCGGAGACCCGAGGTATGTTCACCATTTTACTCTTGCATAAGTTTGCACACGCGTCAGAGAGAGCGGCTTGCGTTTATTGAGGTAAAGATGGTTTTATATTCGCACATTCCTTCAGTGACATGTTGTGACGTTCACTGCATTGCGCTGCTTCAATATTGGGTCTGAATTGGCATGTAAGAATGACTTTAAAACAATATCAGCACTATTTAATTGACTATGAACAGTGTTGCACTTTGATTGTCATTGGCTGATGATATTATTTCACTATTGAGAATTTGCAAACAATCCTTTTCTGAAATTATATTAAGGAGAAGGACTGAATGTGCGAATGTAAACTTTACCCCAATCTTGGGTTTGGGTTACAACACACTACACGAAGCTACTCATGAAACTAAAAGTCTGAGAGGTTTTGCGTTCACAAATGTCTCTAAGACGCGCGGTGAACGCTTTGAACTTGACGCGCCGCACTTAAAACGCAATGCTCTTGACGCGACGCAATGATGAACGACGTCTGCTGTAATTAAAACACTTCATCCTGCTCACTGACATGAAACAAAACAATTCCACAGTGAAGTGGATTTTCCCTTTGTTAATGAACGCTCCATCATACTATAGTATTAACTATAAAGACCGGATAAATACTGTAGTATACTTCAGTTTTTGCTAAAGTAAACTGTCTATTGTAGTATAATATACCCTATAGTTATAGAAAACTACAGTATTGGCTCATTTGTTTATGTTACTGTAGTTATTGAACTGTAGAATCACCACAGCAGATTGATTACTATAGTTGTTGTGTTACCATAACAACTGTAGAATCACCACAACAGATTAATTACTGTAGTTTGTTAATACAACTGAAATCACCACACAGTCAATTACTATAGTGTTGTGTTACCATAGCAACTGTAGAATCACCACAACAGGTCAGTTACTATAGCTGTTGTGTTACCATAGCAACTGTAGAATCACCACAACAGGTCAATTACTATAGCTGTTGTGTTACCATAGCAACTGTAGAATCGCCGCAGCAAATGAAATCAGTAGTTTACTGCAGGGTTTTTCTTCATGTGTGTTATATGTTTTAATCTTGTGTACTTCTACATCATTATTAGACTTTCCAATATGCACTTCAAAAAAAGCCTGTGCAGTTTGCGGACCGGTGCCAGCGCGCTCTTGAAGAAACACTTTTGTACAATCTACTGTCGTCCACTCTTCCAAGATATATTAATAACTCCTCTCCACTCAGAGGCTCAAATCCCAATGTTCATCCAGTGAATGCTGGCAGGCTGGAGTGCATCTCTCCTGCAGACTGATCTGTGGTCAGACTGTGCTGATCTGGAGTTCACTCTCAGCACAGTGGCAGGTCTGGAGGTTTACATGTGGCTCTGCTGGATACGGTGGCTGAGAGGGATCAACTCTAGGAAACACATGCAAATAGAAAAAAGAAAACATTGCTAACTCTTCATAGAGCTGCACAAGCCGTTCTCTCCTCCTCCTTTCCTTCATCTTGAAATGTGTTGAAATAAATCTTCTCTCTGTTAAACAGAAATGAATATGAATGAATTACATTTGAACAGGAGGGTGAATAATCCTGACTTCAGCTGTATATATACACTGAGACCATATATAGTGCAGCTGTACGGTGAGGATAGTGTGGATCTGCTCCTGTCAGGCTGGTTTTCTCACCCGTGTGTTTCTGACCCTGGGAGTTTTGCTCTATTTGTCCAAGGATTTTTGAGCCGGACTGATTTATGGGAGCGGGGCATTGGTTATTTGTGTAGCTGTTTGCTTTGGCGTGGTACTGCACTGCCTCGATAAATCTATAAATGTATCCCATCCGCATTTCAGACCTTTCTGTTCCTCTCAAGGCCTTTTTCTGGATCGAGCAGAGTTACATAATTTACAGTCAGCAGTGTCAGCTCATGGAGCACACAGCAGTGAAATACTCTCTTACTGCTTTTGTCTTGATTCTAGTCCAAATATTGAAGAATTCTGAAGTCAAGAAGCATTTTCTTTCTTAATCATACACCTGGCGCAATAAGGCACAAGGCGTATATGGCGCGATTTTTTGCTATTTTCAGACCAGTGCAACAGTAATTTTCACATTTTGCGACATGTTGTTTAAATAACAAATCTATTTGCAGCACTTTGCAGATTCATGTGTGTGTGCTGGTCTATGAAGGAGGTGTGTTAAGGTGCATTGTTGAAACGCTGCTATTCTGAAGAGCTGAAATAGACCAACAGCACCATTGACCAACTAAAAGCTGCTCTAAAGTCCAGCAGTGTGTGTTAGTTATGCACCTATGCAGGTCTAAACACACACACTGCTGAATACACACAGGATGAACAGCAACACACAAAAATCTGTACAGAAGAAAACAATTACAGGATTAAAATGATCCAGAAATTATGATTTTCTCCATTAATATAAACAGCACTGCCTCCAGGCCTTCTTCACCTCGGGGGGCTTCTTCAGTTTATTGATGACCATCTGCATCTGTATAATGTGATTATTACTATCAGTGTTATTGATTATCTGCAGATTTATAATAAACACAAGTGTAGATGTGTCCAGCTGTAGGGTTTTGGAGACGTCTGCATTAGCATATGTGGATAAGAACAGGACGTGTGTTTGGATATAACTCAGTTTTCTGACCACACTTTATTATTATTGTTCATTTATTTCTCTGCTGGAGATTAGAATTGAATTTAGAAATAGTTCTGAAGCAAATCTTTGTGTTTAACAAAGGAAATTAAACATGTGGGGTAATGGAGTTCAGTGGAGAGAGTTTCCACCGTTTCCTCACTTCACCAAAGTAAAAGAGTAAAGTAAAGGAGTAAAGGAATAAAAGAGTAAAGTAAAAGAGTAAAGGAGTAAAGTAAAGAAGTAAAGGAATAAAGTAAAGGAATAAAGTAAAGGAGTAAAGTAAAGGAATAAAGTAAAGGAATAAAGTAAAGGAGTAAAGTAAAGGAATAAAAGAGTAAAGTAAAAGAGTAAAGGAGTAAAGTAAAGGAATAAAGTAAAAGGGTAAAGGAGTAAAGGAGTAAAGTAAAGGAGTAAAGTAAAGGAGTAAAGTAAAGAAGTAAAGTAAAGGAGTAAAGGAGTAAAGTAAAGAAATAGAGTAAAGGAGTAAAGTAAAGGAGTAAAGTAAAGGAATAAAGTAAAGGAATAAAGTAAAGGAGTAAAGTAAAGGAGTAAAGTAAAGGAATAAAGTAAAGGAGTAAAGGAGTAAAGTAAAGGAATAGAGTAAAGGAGTAAAGTAAAGGAGTAAAGTAAAGGAATAAAGTAAAGGAGTAAAGTAAAGGAGTAAAGGAGTAAAGTAAAGGAATAAAGTAAATGAGTAAAGTAAAGGAGTAAAGGAGTAAAGTAAAGGAATAAAAGAGTAAAGTAAAAGAGTAAAGGAGTAAAGTAAATGAATAAAGTAAATGAGTAAAGTAAAGGAGTAAAGGAGTAAAGTAAAGAAGTAAAGTAAAGGAGTAAAGCAAAGGAATAAAGTAAAAGAGTAAAGTAAAGGAGTAAAGTAAAGGAATAACGTAAAGGAATAAAGTAAAGGAGTAAAGGAGTAAAGTAAAGGAATAAAGTAAAGGAGTAAAGTAAAGGAGTAAAGTAAAGGAGTAAAGTAAAGGAGTAAAGTAAAGGAGTAAAGTAAAGGAATAAAGTAAAGGAGTAAAGGAGTAAAGTAAAGGAGTAAAGTAAAGGAATAAAGTAAAGGAGTAAAGGAGTAAAGTAAAGGAATAAAGTAAAGGAGTAAAGGAGTAAAGTAAAGGAATAAAGTAAAGGAGTAAAGGAGTAAAGTAAAGGAATAAAGTAAAGGAGTAAAGTAAATGAGTAAAGTAAAGAGGCTGAATGGAGGAGGCTGGTTCTTTATCTTTGCGCTGCAGATGCTCTGTTTAACTGTGTTCTCGCTAGTGAAGTGTTCAGTTTTTACACTTATAAAGTCGCCATGTAAAGAGCAAATGCACCATGTGCAACGCAACTAACTCTTAAAGGGAATGAGAGACGAGACTCTGATTGGTTTAATGCAGGTTCTGCTCAAAACACACCCAGAACTCATGAAGAGAATCAGCACAGCCCTGTTAGAGCATGCGCCTGCTTCACAGACTGTTTTAATAAAGTAGCAGAAGTGGATTCAGGCATGCCCTTAATGCTTTTGTGCCATGAGCTTTAGACTTTGCGCCTAGATCATTAAAACAGAGCCCGTTATGTTCTTTTCAGTAATAATGAGTCAAATTGAAGTGAGTTTCTCCTTAAAACAAGCACAGTAATCTGCCAGTGGGGTCAGCTGAATGCCTTTATGTTATAAAGAAAGCAATAGTATTCAGAGTATTGTGCTTGTTTTAAGCAGAAACTCACTAATTATTTCGGAAAACAACACAAAATGTTTTACCTGTGTAGAAAACGCTTCTTAAGATTTGTTCGATTTTTGGACTAGCAACAAGTCAAAAGCTGTAAGTCTGCAGTGTGTCCTCCTGTATCTGGAGGCACGATTAATGTCTTCAGTCCTGGACGCAGACGGAGGTTGTGAAATGTAGGTCACAGTGTCTTGTCATGTACTGCTGTGCTACAAAGAACAGAAACATTATCAATCAACTGAGAGCACCACAAATATGAAGAGGAAAGCTGCCAAAATATTCCCCAAGACACTTGGATCAACCAACGACACACAGATTACTGTGTCCAGAAGAAAGATTTATACGATGTATGTTCCTGAATCCAACGACGCGGTATGGATGTGATTATCCTGATTGACTGTGAAGACATTTACTGGTCATATCGCTAAACAATTGTTATTCTGATCATATTATATGTAGTAAACACTCACCGGCCACTTTATTAGGTACACTCTCTAGTACCATGTTGTTCCCCCTTTTGCCTTCAGATCTGCCTTAATCCTTGGTGGCGTAGATTCATCAAGCTACTGGAAATATTCCTCAGAGATTTTGCTCCATATTGTCATGATAGCATCACACAGTTGCTGCAGATTTGTCGGCTGCACATCCATGATGCC